TGGATGAAAAGAATGAATGAATGAATGAAATAGAATTCTGAAAAGAATGAATGAATGAATGAATTAGAATTTTGAAAAGAATGAATGAATGAATGAATGAATGAATTTTGATGTTGGTGAAAAGAATGGAATGAATGAAGTAGAATGGATGAAAAGAATTTCAAATGAATGAATGAATGAATGAATTTCTTTTTAAGAAAAGAATGAAAAATTTTGAAATGAATATCTTTAGAATGGTGAAAAGAATGAATGAATGAATAAAATGAATGAATGAAGAATGGTGAAAAGAATGAATGAATGAATTTTATTTTAGAATTTCTGAAAAGAATGAATGAATGAATGAAGTATTGGTGAAAAGAATGAATGAATGAATGAATGGAGATAGAATGGTGAAAAGAATGAATGAATGAATGAATAGAATGGTTGAAAAGATAATGAATCTTTCTCAATTTGAATGAATTAGATGGATTTAAAAGAAAATGAATGATTGAATGAATAGAAAAATAAAAATGAATGAATGAAAGAAGATTATGAAAAGAATGAATGAATGAATGAAGTAGAATTTGAAAAGAATGAATGAATGAATGAATGAATAGAATAAAAAGAAAGAATGAATGGATGAAATTTAATGTAAAATGAAAAAAAGAATGAATGAAGTAGAATGGAAAAAAAAGAGATGAACGAATGAATGAATGAAGAAGATTAAAAGAATGAATGAATGAATGAATGAAGTAAAATGGTGAAAAGAATTAATGAATGAATGAATGAATAGAATTTTGAAATATAATGAATGAATGAATAAAGATATAATAGAAAATAAATGAATGAATGAATGAATGAATGAATGATTGAAAAGAATGAATGAAAATACTTTTTTGGTGAAAAGAATGAATGAATGAATGTAGAAAGTTTGGTGAAAAGAATGAATGAATGAAATAGAATGGTGAAAAGAATGAATGAATGAATGAATGAAAAAAAATGATGAAAAGAATGAATAGATGAATTAGAGAATATGAAAAGAATGAATGAATGAATAAATGAATAGAATGGAAAAAAAGAATGAATGAATGAATTTTAAATGGTGAAAAAGAATGAATGAATGAATGAATGAATAGAATGGATAAAAAGAATGAATGAATGAATGAAGATAGAATGGTTAAAAAGAATGAATGAATGAATGAATAGATAAATGAAAAGAATGAATGATTTGAATGGTGAAAAGAATTTTTGAATGAATGAAAAGATTGAAAAGAATGAATGAATGAATGAATAGAATGGTGAAAAGAATGAATGATTAGACGTGATTGAAAAAGAATGAATGAATGAATGATTTAGAAATGGTGAAAAAATTTGAAATGAATGAATTCTTAGAAAAAAAAAGAATGAAGATTCAAGAATTTTTGAAAAGAATGAATGAATGAATGAACAAGAAAAAAATGAATCTTTGAATGAATGAATGAATCTAAGAAGTAGAATAGATAAGAAAAGAAAAAATGAATGAATGAATGAAGTAGAATGGTGAAAAGAATGAATAAATGAATGAATTCTATTTTAGAATTTTGAAAAGAATGAATGAATGAATAAAGTAGAATTTTGAAAAGATATGAAGTAAATGAATAAATGAAATGGAAGTAGAATGGTGAAAAGAATGAATGAATGAATAAAGTAGAATGGTGAAAAGAATGAATGAATGAATAAATGAATGAAGTAGAATGGTGAAAAGAATGAACGAATGAATGAAGTAGAATGGTGAAAAGAATGAAACGAATGAATGAATGAAGTAGAATATTTGAAAAGAATGAATATAATGAATGAATGAAGTAGAATAATTGAAAAGAATGGATGAATGAATGATTTTAGAATTGAAAAGAATTTCTTGAATGAATGAATGAATGAATGAATCAGAATGAATGAAAATTGAACGAATGAATGAATGAAGTAGAATATGAAAAGAATGAATGAATGAATGAACAAAAAGATTTTCTTTGAAAAAGAATGAATAAATGAATGAATGAAGTAGAATGGTGAAAAGAATGAATAAAATGAATGAAGTAGAATGGTGAAAAGAATGAATGAAAATGAATGAACTTAAAATTTGGTGAAAAGAATGAACGAATGAATGAATGAAGTATAAATGGTGTAAAGAAAGAATGAATTGGGAATCCTTTTAGAATGGTTTGTAAAGAAAGAATGAATGAATTTCCAAATGAAAGAATGAATGAAAAGAATTTTGAATTTTATTTTAGAATGGGTGAAAAGAATCTTTTGAATGAATGAATGAAGTAGAATGGGGAAAAGAAAGAATGAATGAATGAATGAAAATAGAATGGTGAAAAGAATGAATTTAAATGAATAAAGTTTCTATGAAAAGAATGAATGAATGAATAAATGAATGATGGAAAGTAGAATGGATGAAAAGAATGGAATGAATGAATGAGTTAGAATGGTGAAAAGAATGAATGAATGAAAAATGAAGTAGAATGGTGAAAAGAATGAATAAATGAATGAATGAAGTAGAATGGTGAAAAGAATGAATGAATGAATGAATAGAATGGTGAAAAGAATGAATGAATGAATGAATGAATAGAATAAAAGAAAGAATGAATGAATGAATGAATAGAATGGGAAAAAAAGAATGAATGAATGAAGATAGATAGATAGAATAGATGGATGAAAAAGAATGAATGAATGAATAAAAATGAATGAGATAGATATGATAGAATGAATGAATGAATGAAGATAGAAGAAAAAGAATGAACGAATGAAATGAATGAATAGAATGGTGAAAAGAATGAATAAATGAATGAATGAATAGAATGGTGAAAAGAATGGATGAATGAATGAAGTAGAATTTGAAAAGAATGAATGAATGAATAAAATGAATGAAGTAGAATAATGAAAAGAATGAACGAATGAATGAAGTAGAATAGATGAAAAGAATGAAATGAATGAATGAATGATGATAGTAGAAAGATGAAAAGAATGAATAAATGAATGAATGAATAGAATGGTGATGGATAAAAGAATGGATGAATGAATGAAAAGAATGGTGAAAAGAATGAATGAATGAATGAATGAAGAAGTAAAATGGTGAAAAGAATGAATGAATGAATGAAAATAGAATGAAAAGAAAAGAAAAGAATGAATGAATGAATGAAGTAGAATGGTGAAAAGAATGAATGAATGAAGTAGAATGGTGAAAAGAATGAATAAATGAATGAATGAAGTAGAATGGTGAAAAGAATGAATGAATGAATGAAAAGAATGGTGAAAAGAATGAATGAATGAATGAATGAAGTAGAATGAATGAAAAGAATGAATGAATGAATGAATGAAACAGAATGGTGAAAAGAATGAATAAATGAATAAAGTAGAATGGTGAAAAGAATGAATGAATGAATATAAAAATGAATGAAGAAGAATGGGTGAAAAAGAATGAACGAATGAATGATATAGAATGAAAAGAATGAACGAATGAATGAATGAAGTAGAATGGTGAAAAGAATGAATAAATGAATGAATGAAGATAGAATGGTTAAAAGAATGGATGAATGAATGAAGTAGAATGGTGAAAAGAATGAATGAATGAATGAATGAAACAGAATGCAAAAAGAATGAATGAATGAATGAAGTAGAATGGAAAAAAGAATGAATGAATGAATGAATGAATAGAATGGTGAAAAGAATGAATGAATGAATGAATGAAGTAGAATGGTGAAAAGAATGAATGAATGAATGAGAAGAATGGTGAAAAAGAATGAATGAAGTAGAATGAATGAAAAGAATGAATGAATGAATGAAGTAAAATGAAAAAGAATGAACGAATGAATGAATGAAGTAGAATGGTGTAAAGAAAGAATGAATGAATGAATGAAGTAGAATGGTGAATGAAAGAAAGAATGAATGAATGAATGAAGTAGAATGGGTGAAAAGAATGAATAAATGAATGAATGAAGTAGAATGGTGAAAGAATGAATGAAGTAGAATGGTGAAAAGAATGAATGAATGAATGAAGTAAAATTAAAAAAAGAATGAAACGAATGAATGAATGAAGTAGAAAAAAAAAGAATGAACGAATGAATGAAGTAAAATGGTGAAAAGAATGAACGAATGAATGAATGAAGTAGAATGGTGAAAAGAATGAACGAATGAATGAAGTAAAATGGTGAAAAGAATGAACGAATGAATGAAGTAGAATGGTGAAAAGAATGAATGAACGAATGAATGAATGAAGTAGAATGGTGAAAAGAATGAATGAATGAATGAAGTAGAATGGTGAAAAGAATGAATGAATGAATGAAGTAGAATGGTGAAAAGAATGAATGAAGTAGAATGGTGAAAAGAATGAATGAATGAATGAAGTAAAATGGTGAAAAGAATGAACGAATGAATGAATGAAGTAGAATGGTGAAAAGAATGAACGAATGAATGAAGTAAAATGGTGAAAAGAATGAACGAATGAATGAATGAAGTAGAATGGTGAAAAGAATGAATGAATGAATGAAGTAGAATGGTGAAAAGAATGAACGAATGAATGAAGTAAAATGGTGTAAAGAAAGAATGAATGAATGAATGAAGTAGAATGGTGAAAAGAATGAATAAATGAATGAATGAAGTAGAATGGTGAAAAGAATGAATGAATGAATGAAGTAGAATGGTGAAAAGAATGAATGAATGAAGTAGAATGGTGAAAAGAATGAATGAATGAATGAATGAAGTAGAATGGTGAAAAGAATGAATGAATGAATGAAGTAGAATGGTGAAAAGAATGAATGAATGAATGAATGAAGAATGGTAAAAAGAATGAATGAATGAAGTAGAATGGTGAAAAGAATGAATGAATGAATGAATGAATGAAGTAGAATGGTAAAAAGAATGAATGAATGAATGAAGTAGAATGGTGAAAAGAATGAATGAATGAATGAAGTAGAATGGTGAAAAGAATGAATGAATGAATGAAGTAGAATGGTGAAAAGAATGAATGAATGAATGAATGAAGTAGAATGGTGAAAAGAAAGAAAGAAAAAAGAATGAATGAATGGGCAAAAAAAAGAATGAAATGCTGTAGAATGGACAAACGACAGAAATTGCAAATGAAGAACTGAAGAAATAGAGAAGGAAGAAATACAAAAAAAAAACGAAAAACAAACAAACAAAATGAAGTTAAATGGTGAAAATAAGTAAAGAATAAAACATTATAAAAGAACGGAGAAAAGAATGAAAGAAAGAAAAAAGAAAGAGTGAGAGAGAAAAATAGGAGAGAAAGTGAATGAAAAAAAAAGTAATAACTAAATGACAGGAAAGAAGCAAAATTTCAAGGAGAAAAAAATTGACGCTCCTCCGGCGAAATGGAAAACATTGAAAAAAAGAAAGAAAATTCAGAAAAATCATTGAACAAAAAACTAAAATATATTCGCAACACGTGCTGATAAAACTGTGCACTTGTACCAGACTAAGTTATAAAATGTGAGTCTAACTTAGTTATGCGCCATATATGATACACGCTTAGGCGATCATGTATCTTTCGACACATGACTGACGAGGCAGATTTTTCCGCATTAGACCAATTGCCATCTAAGGCCTATCCTGCTATTTTATCCATAGCTGAAGGGAGAATTAGAAGATTCATACCTTTCCAAATGGTATTAGCACGTAAGTGAATGTAACAGATCCGTTAGAAATGGAACTCGACTTCCTGATTTCTCAATCCGAGCCGTTTATCCATTGCCCTACCGTACCTCCACTTCTAATCTATACTAATCGCAATAAGCTTGCGAGATTATTAGGCTCGGCATTTCTTTTGAGCAAACTATAAATCTAAATCTCTTTTACAACAGAAGAGTTGATTCTCTATCCGTTACACACTGCGTGTAAGTTTATTGGTACGTATGAAATGTCTATGCGTGTGTGTGTGTTCTGAGTGAGTGACTTTGCCATTAATGTGCATACATGCACACACATACGCACACAATTTAACTGAGCTTGAAATAGGACATTGGAATAATATGTCCCCACCCCCACTCAGTCTGGATATACACTACCCTGGAGTGAGCAATAAAGTGATAATGTTGGAGACAAGAGATAAAACAAACTTATCGATTAATAACTTGGATTATTTTTAAAGTTTTAAACAATGATCTATATAATTTTTAGATCTGGTATTAAATTAAAAAAAGAAAATACATGCGCACACACAAATTTAGACAGACAAAAACACACACTCCCAAGTTTGACGAAATTGAAATAGTCATCTTTATCGCCATGGCTAATTTCCCTTTCTGTCTAGTAACAACCATTGATTAACAGGCAAAGAGTATAAACCAGCTTGTTGAAGTCATTTTTACGGTTCTTTTTTATTTAAACGGAATATATTTTGTACTAGTTTAAATGGAAAAACAATTTAGATTTTAAATTTGATGAACTTTTTTTTATCCGCGAAGCAACAGGTTTGTCTATTTTTTTTTTTGTTTCTTTAGTGGCATATGGGTCACTTGATCTTTCCTTTTAATTCACCCCAAATAATGTAAAGATACTTATCGTAAATATTAATTCCCCCCAAGAAATTATAAATTTTAAATCAAATTTTGTTTGTGTTTTTATTAAATTTTTAGCATTCTTTTAAAATTATAAATTTTAAATTAAAATTTATTTAGCTTGCCATGAAGTTGCTAGAGTCAATACAATGGCAAGGAGAGTGGCGTTTTCGCTTCTTACAGAGAGTAAATATTCTTCATCCGTTGATGAAAATCTCTAACGGACATGATATGAGTTTGAATTTAACAGATCGAGTGGATAGATGGCGCTGCCGTTTCAGTGAATGCCGTAAATAGAAGCCGCCAAGGAAAGGAAATTCACTCCAAGGGTCACGACTTCCCTACAATAAAATCACATTATTTATTTATTTATGGTCAAAGAATATAGCCACTATAAACTTTTGTATTTTTGAACAAATATTAAAGGACATTTCTGAATTTCGGTGTGTATTTTAGTAAATACAAATTCTTTTTATTTTGGGGGTGAATTAACAGAAACGTTCCAAGTCATTTAATGCCTAAATTTAATTTTCTTGGGAGCATTAATTTCATTTTCAAAAAATGTATTGCTGGTAATTTTTTTTTTTTTTACTATTAAAATGTGTGGTTGGTATTTTTACAATAAGAATGTTTATACTTTCTTAGTTATGCGACCCCAGTTTTTTTTTTTTTGGGGGGGAACCATTTTCCCATATTTGAGACTCTAACAGCCCGAGTCAGGGTGGACTTGGGAACAACAGCAATTACGAGGTGGTTCCACGCTCCTCAAAACCTCCCGATTAGAGGCCTTGCTGCCGGATGTAGTTTATTGTCATACCCAGGACGACAAAATGACAGGTACCGAACAAGTATTTACTAAACATAATTGAGAAATAAAGCCGGATAAACTCGGGACAGAGTGAGGATTGAACTCACGCTTACTAGATCTGAGAGACTAACTTCCTAACACTTGTTTCTAGGAAGAATATCGTATAGTTATGTACTAAACCACGGCTCACAATTATATATGGCTCCGCATGTCACATTCCAGGCTAATTTCTCACATGCCTATTTGGTTAATAGTCAATTTATGTCTGTTTTATCTAAAACATGTTAAAACCGTCCAAAAACACACAGTTTTTTTCGCTTTTTAAACAGAAGAGTAATAATAATTATAAAAGATTGTAAACAAACAAAAAAGTTATTAAAGAATTAAGCAGTAATACAAAACAAATACAAAAAAATTACCAACAGTTTCTCTATAAATCAATTTTCTTTTGGCCGTTGCCTTTTTAAAAACATTCTACAATATTTTTTCCGATGAAAACTTTCGTTTCTTGTAAAATATATTCACAACAATTTTTGCTGCAAAAGGAATTCCTTTTTCAGTGTGTTGTTCACTAGTAAAAACATATTTTGGAGAATAATTTTCCAAAATTCTTTCAGTAGACTCTCTTTTAGTGGATTCATTATGTTTTACAAAAAAATGTATCTGCATAGTCAAGTATAGCAAAACAAGTAAAAACGTACTCTGCCATTTAGCTAGATGGAACCGTAAGACCTCCTCGAGAAAGTAAGTCAAAGTACTGCTTCTTTGTAGCATCATCACTATCATTGCCTACCATGACCAAGGAACACATTTCACACTGAAAACATTTTATTAATTTTTGTGAATTTTCCGTAAAAAAAGTAAAAATTGGTAATGTTAATTTCTCCCGAAAAGCTACAAGTTAAGAAGTAACTTGTAGCTTTTCTAAGACGTATAGCGTAGGTATTGGATGTAAATCCTAGTTAAGTTTGTTTAGTTTTCCTTTCAAAATAAATTTCCCTTCAAAATGAGAACTGATTTTTTCGTACAAACCCAATCAATATGATTAACGAATTTTAACCATTTTCCTACGAGGTCGGATTTTCCAAGAGGAAAAGAAAATGTCGACACTTTTTCATTGTTAGGAACATAACCACTGGAACAGCCAAATGCAACAGATTTGTTAATCATTCTTGTTAAACAAAATATTGCAACAAACACTATAATTTAATCTTGAAATGGACTATTAGGTGGAAAATTTACGTAATAGCGTTCATTTGCAAAACGGGCCGTATACGCATAAAAGCGAGGTAAATCACAGCCACTTATAATTTGCGGATTAGTAAAAAAAATGTGTAAATATGTATTTTAGTGCTGAAAACACGTCTAGTAAATTGAAATAACGTCTGATAAATTCTACGTAATTGTACTTTGTTAATCTATGTTCTAAAAATTTAATTTTTAAAGTTACCTCCCTTTTAGATTAGCAATTTTCTAAGCGGCCATTCTCATTTTTTGTTTATATGCAAAACAACGATAATGTCCTAAGCATTCAGGCACACCCTGAAAGATTCACATAGCTAATTACTGAGCTAAACTAAGCCTGTCTTTTTGTTCTATGTTACCTGTCTCTTCCGGATGTGGGTGACCATGGCTCTCCACAGCTTTCAATTCTCGTAGCTGTAATCAATGTTTGCACCTCAATATCACTCCAAGTTCCTGTTTTGTCATCTATCAGCATAAGTTCGTTCTGTAGGTTAATTTCTGTTTCCCTCTGCACCTCTTGGCTTTAATATGTCCTGTGAGCGTCAAATTCTCCGAGCCGTTTTTCCTCATTATGTGTCCCAGAAATGTCAATTGTCTCTTTCTGAAGTATCAGTGTTCTTTTTGCTTCCATTTTCATAAAAAAAAATTCTCGCATGTTACATCCATTGCTTAAATCGTACAGGTGCCAAAAATTGACACATTACCGCGTGTAACAGCAAAATTGTCCTCTAGGGACAATTTTGCTGTTACACGCGGTAATGTGTCAATATGTGTAAATATGTGCTGTTACATGCGGTAATGTGTCAATATGTGTAAAAGAAAAATGGTCCATTTGTTAGATTAGAAAATGAACCGTTGCATCTTAGAAATGATTAAAGATCTCTTACTGGAATTCCCCAAGGTTTTTATAACACTATTGGACTATACTTTGAGTAATGAGAATGTATAATTACTCTCAAAGCTTAACAGAAGAATCGTGATGAAATCGATCATAAATGAAAATGACATGCTCATCATTAATTAATCATAGCTAAGGATCAGAAACTAATGAAAGAAGGATCACAAGAATACACCTCCGAAAATTACAGCAGAGCTTAATGACCATCTCGAAAACCCAGTTTCCTTAAAAACTGTAAGGAAGGAGCTGTACAAAGGCGGATTTCACGGGAGGGCTGCAATCAGAAAACATCTCCATTCACAAAGCAATATTGCAAAGCGTTTAGAGCGAAGTAGAAACCTATCGAACTGATCCCTAGAACAATGGAAGAATGCTATTTTCTCGGGCGAGTGTCATCTTTTGCCTTATTTCCGACATCTGGTTGAGAATACGTGTGGAGACAGCCTAAAAAAACATTTGATCCAGACTGTCTTCTTCCAACTATTAAACATGAAGGAGGCACTGTGTTGATCTTTGGTGGTGGGGTTATATCTTGGAAATCTGCCGGTCCAATGGTTTCCCTTCATAGCAGGGTCAAATTTATCCTATGGTCGCGTAACTTTTTTCCGGAGGGAAACGCATCCTTTCAAGATGATAATGCACCAATTCACACAGCGAAAATTGTGCGTGAGTGGCAGGAAGAACATTCTAGTGAAGTAGACCATCTTATCTGGCTACCACAGTCTCCAGAGATCTCAATATTATTGAAAATTTATGGTGTATTTTAGAAAAACAAGTAAGGAATCGATATCCTCCATGATCATCACTAAAAGAACTTGAGACTGTTTTGGTAGAAGAATGGACAAAAATTCTTCTGGAAACCATTCAAACTTTGTCCATACCTCGTAGAATTCAAGCTGTAATTACTGCCAAAAGCGGCCCTAAATTTGCTTGAAATTTCCAGGTGTTTCCATTACTTTGTCCAACGTCTGTATATCCAAGTTCTCTTTCCTCTTTATGCGTTTGAGAAATTTCAACCACCTTTTTATGATCTTCACTTCGGGTGTCTTTTTCGTTCCCATTTTCCTTAAAACTTCATTGTTCACATGTTCCGTCCATATTATTCTTCGCCTTCTTCTCTGGACTCATATCTCTTTTTCCTGAAACCTCCTCTTCTTCAGTGGGGGATATTCTCCAGTATCCACTGCCAATAGAAAGATTGATATGCCATAGCAGTTCAGCAGCCTTTCGTTTTGTTTCGAACGAAATTTTCTCGTTTCTTAATACTTTAAGAAGCAGGAAAATTTCGTTTAGTATTTTAAATGAATTCACTCTACTAACTAACTAACGGTTTGTATGACTAGTTCTACTCACCAACAAAATCTCCCTTCGTATTCGATCAACTAATTTTATATCACTATGGGCGATTGGCGACATGATGGAATTGGACAGTGTTTTCATTCATTATTTTGTTTAATATTTCATGTTTTTCTTTCGATTCGAAGATGGATGATTGCAAAGAAGCTCTTTCCATTCGGACAGAATGGATTTCGTCACATCGCTGGAAAACTGGCGATGTTTATCCGTGCTGATGAAGGAGGGGATTTTGATCAGGAAAAGGCAGTTGACGGCTTAGAGGCAAGAGGAGGGTGGAAGAGAACACCAGGAGATACTGAACTTCGTTTGGGTGATAAGATAGGGTTTTTATGATTCCCCGAGTATTATATTGTGATTGCAGGGTCGACACACGATATTACAGATTTCCGTCACGCAGAGATTCCTTTTTTCTTTTTCTTATTTTTTATTCTTAAAGGATAAACGTTGCAAATGGATTGGACGAAATGAAGGAAGGAAAGAAAATCCAGCAAGAAAGATGACCACTTGAAAAATAGATAGATAGATAGATAGATAGATAGATAGATAGATAGATAGATAGATAGATAAAAAACAATGTATGGAAAGAGAAAGTTAAGTATGAATGAATGAAGTGAATGAAACAAAGTAGAAACTGAAGGAGGATCGGAGAAAGAAAGAATAAATTAAATAAATGAAAGAATGAATGAAAGGGAATTGGATGAAGAAGTAAATTAAAAAAGCAAACATAAAGAAAGAAAGAAAGAAAGAAAGAAAGAAAGAAAGGAAAAAAGAATGAATGAATGAATGAAACATACAGAAAGGAATGAAGGACCAAAATGAAATGAAAAGAAAATAGACAGGAATAGTTTTAAAAAAAGAGATACTACTACTACTACTGCTGCTTCAGCTGCTACTACTACTATTACTACTACTACTAATAATAATAATAATAATCTGGCACAAGGAAAAGTATAAAGTATCCGAGTGAAAAATGATCTCAAAACACAATCGAATTGATCCGTGAAACAAACTTAATTTTTAGACGTTTACTTGTTAAATTAAAGATATTTTAGATTTCCCATCAAGTCAGTTACGGTAAAATTTAATTCTAATATGTAAACGTATATCAAAGAGATTCGACAGTGCACGATCTTTACGAGTGTTGTCCAATATACGATACTGTTTAGGTGTAAGGAATATATATTTGCTATTGTGAATAATATGATCTTTTATCATTTTTGGTCATCCATACTGTAGGCGTTCCACTTGAACCTTGGTAAGCGCTCATTTATCATATATGAGTGCGGAAATTTGACTCAGTAGCCACCTGACAGTTGAACAGAACGGAGCTGACAGTTGATACATTAAAAGGTCACTGGTTCATTCATATATATATATATATATATATATATATATATATATATATATATATATATATATATATATTGCGATTATTCCGAGGAGAATATAAATCCAATGAGAGCTCAATGTAGACTACAGAGCATTATAATGATAAGAAGACGGAGATTTCGATTATAATTTATTTCATGGAGACCGAGGTGTTCAACTTTTCAGACCAAAATCTCCTCCCTAAATGGAGAAAAAAATCACACACACACACACACACACACACACATATATATATATATATATATATAGATAGATAGATAGATAGATAGATAGATAGATAGATAGATACTAGAAGTGAAAAGTGACTACGAGTGGTAATAAAATAGTACTCGATGTAAAATAACAGAGCTAAAATGTATATTACTGATAAATATGCAGATTGTTCCCCACCGTTTGGTGCAACTCTGAGTTTCATGCACGTAGTAATCGCCAGACGTGGATTGAAAATTTAACCTGTTGATGAATAGATAGATAGATAGATAGATAGATAAAGAACAGACATAGATAGATAGATAGATAGATAGATAGATAGATAGATAGATAGATAGATAGATAGATAGATAGATAGATAGATAGCACGATGAGGGGCAGGGAGTGAGACAAAGATTGACAGAGAAATTTGTCTAAATTAATCGCTGGTTGTAACCAATGAACATCTAAATCTAAGTGTTTTTCTTCCTGCACAAAGCTTTCGCCATGATCTCGACGACCCACTAATTTTTGCCAAAACTTCATTTATAATCTATATTATAAAAGGCTGGAAAGAGAGACCTGTTGCATTTTCGATATGATCATTTTAAGAAATTCATTGCTGATGTATACGTCGACCCCTTGCTTTGTAGCTAATAAAATCCAAACAATATATATGGCGTTTTTACAAAAACTTAAGTTAATTGCGAATTTGTAACAATGTGGGAAAAAAAGAAGATAATCAGTTAAAATATGTGGTTGAATGAGTGACATATTTCCCAGTACTGAATGACATTTCTTTTATACGCTGTGTTCTTTAAAGACGTGAGCGATCATAGCTCTGGAGCAATATTTGAACCCTTACCTTATTAGGGATTTTACTTGCGGATTCCTTCAATATACTCTGTGATTCTCAAGTCCAGTAGCTGTTATTGCTCTTTCTAGTATTGATGGCGGTTTCCTTCCTAAAAGTTTATTTGAAGTAGTGCAGAATGTCAACATCTTGATTGTGTCATCATTTTCTTTTCGCCTTATATTTTTACTTCGAGTGGAACACATGAAGAAAAATGATTTGGAGATTTTTTATCTTTCTTTGTTTAGAGATTTTTTTCTTTCTTTTTTTTGGAGATCGTTTCTTTCTTTTTTAATGATTTTATTCTCTTTCTCTTTTCTTACAGATTGACTCTCTTTCTTCTTTACAGATTTTTCTTTCTTTTTATTAGAGATTTTTCTCTTTCTCTTTTAAAGATTTTTCTCTTTCTTTTTAGAGATTATTACTCTTTATATTTTAGATATTTTTCATTCTTTTTCAGAGATTTTTTTCTCTTTCTTTTATTAGAGATTTTTCTCTTTCTTTTCTAGAAATTTTTCTCTTTCTTTATTAACGATTCTTTTCTCTTTCTTTTTTAAAAATTATTTCTTTTTCTTTTTTAGAGCTCTTTTCTCTTTATCTTTTAGAGATATTTCCTCTTTCTTTTTAGAGATTTTTCTCTTTCTTTTCTAGAAATTTTTCTCTTTCTTTTTTCAGAGATTTTCTTTTTCTTTATTAGGGCTTCCTTTCTGTCATTTTTTGAGATTGAATTTGTTTTGCATGTTTTAGAGATTTGTCTTCTACTTCTAATAAAATATAAGTAAATACAACAATAAAACCCGATAAAAGAAAAAAAAAGAATGAAATAAAATATCAGAAATGAAATCCAGAAGGAATGACAGAAAATAATGAATATATGAATGAAGGAACGAAAATAATCAGTAAAATTTTTGAAATCCTAAGCGGCAAAGAATGAAAATAAGAAAGAAAGGAATGAACATGGATGAAAATATATGCGAACAAAATGGCGATAAAACAGAAAACGAGGAAAGGAAGGAGAGAATGAAACAAAACTAAGGAATAAAGAATAAAGGTTAAAAGTGAGGAAAAAAGGGAGGAAAGAAAGCAGTCTGGAAGGAAAGAGTGACGGAAAGACAAAGGCATGAAAAGGAATGAGAAAATAGGAAAAGAAAGAAAGTAAAATAGTATTGAAAAATAAAGGTGTAACGAGAGGACGAAAGAAGAAAGAGAGTAAGAAAGGAAGGAAAGAAATGTGAAAAGAAAAGAAAAAAGAAAAGAAGATGCAAGGAAAGAAGAAAGTAAGAAAGGAAAAGAAGTCAGGGTGGAATTATTGATGTGTCGCCAATGGGGTTTGGTGTTTGTACATGGCCGATAAATATCTAATGAGAATTGTTCTTATCTCTGATTTTTACGAAAGAGGAACATAACACCCGAGAAGCATATATACATTCACACTTATATACACGCAGATGTACACATGTGAGCACAGGCGCAAATATATCACAAACATATAAGCAGACAAATGCACATGCATAAGCTTGAACAAACATATATGCTTTTGTAAGTTCATACACATATATACAAAGTATCAACAGAAAATACACATAAATACGCATACATACAATCTCATATACGCATACACACAGGCATAAAAACATATACATGCACAATTCCAGGAGGGATATATATTTAACATTACATAATGCTTAAATGTGATGTGATGCATATGCGCGCATATATGTAACCTTATTTACTAAGGGAAGCTAGTAAACACACACACACACACACACACATATATATATATATATATATACACACACACATATATATATATATATATACACACACACACATATATATATATATATATATATATATATATATATATATTTATATATATATATATATATATATGATTGCTGGTCGCTCTTATCTGAGTATTCCTGTCTGCTATGGCGGCTAGCCTATCCCTATTGCAGGAACCTGCTCAGGCACATTTGTGTTTGTTCAACACCCACGAAGCTCACCCATGGTTTATACTGCAACTGTACTGAGCGAACCGTAGTTACAGCTTCTGGTGTAATAAATTGTTTGAACAGAGGCATTATGCTCAAGCCCTCTGTCACGATGACTTGTAAGTTCGTGCTAGTCATGTTTCTTATTGACGGCTCCGTCAATCCATTTTCACTCACAATTCTTGGGCCCAAACGTGATATGGCTTTCAGCTAATTTCCACAGTTAAGATTGCCTCCATGTGACGACGATAACATAAGGCATCAAAATTTAGATAAATCGTGAGATTCGAACCTGGTTCTTATGGTCGGAAGCGAACATTCTATCCATCCATACATACGTGCTAACTAATTATTATCTATCTATCTATCTATCTATCTATCTATATATATATATATATATATATATATATATATATATATATATATATATGTATGTATTATAAATTAATTGATTTAAAATATGTTTTTTTTCGCTTCACAGTTCTAACCATGTTTCAAAAATGGAAGCTAAAAGCTCCGAATTTAATTTTGTAATTAAATTAAAGACATTAGTTCCATTTCATCCTCAAGCGAATTTTGGAGTAACTTTTAAAATTGCTGGGTTTTAAAGACACAGCAAAAATCATAATTCACGTTTCCAAGGATACAGAGAAATCCAATTCAACCAGACAAAGGGTATCTGCATGTTCATTATCGCTGTATTTTGTTTTATCAGTTATTAGTTACGTTTTGGTAGGGGTAGGGATGTATTTTTCAATGAAATCTGACATCCGTTAAATGCATGTCATCTGGATTTTTTTTTTTTCATTTTATTTTTAACGGCAAAAATTCTTACGACAATTTTTTTCTATTTGTATATTTAAAGATTTTTGGGGTTTGTAAATTTACAGAGCATTAATATCTATAAGAACACCGGATTATATATTACTGTTCTTTTCTTTTTTTATATATATATATATATATATATATATATATATATATATATATATATATATATATATATATTAGGTTGTGTCATAAGTACTTTTTGCTTTGAGGAAATAATTTTAATACCTTTTATTCCTGATTATTCGTGGTAGCTAATAATAAAATAAGAGTATACTAACGTAGGTTACTTTTAGTTCAGTAGTGTCAGCGTACACATTGAATGTTAAAATTTTTAAATCTACTAATGGAAGAGTTGAAGGTGCATTTACGTCGTCCTCTTCTTCTCCTCCAGCTATGGGTAAAATAACAGGGTAGACCGGATTCTATAGCCTTGGATGGCAACAGGTCTGCCGCAGAAAGAAATAGCAACCTACTACGGTAAAAAAATCTTCCTCGTCAGTCATGTATCAGAAGATGTATGATCGCCTAAGCGTGTATCACGCATGGCACATCACTAACTAATGTTATGAGACCTCAATCAATATCTATAAAAAAAATATTTAGCGTTTATCTTGAAGGAGTCATAAGTGATCGACAAGCACGAAAAGTAATGTCTGCTCTTAACAAACGACTGAAATGCCCAACCGTTATCCATTACACCACCCGCATAACCAAGCCTACAACGTCTAGTAACCCTAAGCGGTCACACATCTAGGTACTGACCAGGCTCGACGTTGCTTAACTTTCGAGAGCCAGTGTGATATGGCCGTAAGCGCTTTGGAAAAGTATGAATCCACCTCTTAGCCCAGCTATGGTTTAATTAGTATGACTTGCTTCTCTAAATCAGTATTATCTCCTAAAAATTCTTACATTCTAAAAATATTTTCTGGCTTTAAATAACCCTCAAAAGGTTGATAAACCGTAAAAACAAATTAATCAATCAGTCATATATATATATATATATATATATATATATATATATATATGATTGGGGATAGGGTGGTGGGAGCAAAACATCGAATATGTAAAGCCATTATTAGTGTGTTAGGCTGGGCAAATGTTCTTAAAAAGATCTGGGGATCTGCCATATTACGATATTTAGCAAGCAAGTACACGAGTTCTTGCTTTGGATTTCATTCTTCGCTTTCTGCTGCAATAATATGGTCTTGTGCCAGCCTAAGATAAGTTGATAACTCTATACTCTTGCTATGGTCATCAGTTTAATGAGTGGTTGCCTGCATTTTCGAATATAAGTCCACTGCACTAACCGTATGTCAGGGTAACACCCACGCGTAAATACCCTTGAGAGAGGTAGAAAATCATCGCCTCCTCAAGCTACGGGTTGAATAACAGGACTCGTATATAGAAATATCATTGTTATGCTAAAAAAATTATTAAAGAAATATTATCTTGCGCCAAAAAATTAGTCTTACAATTCAAAATATTCCGGTTTAAATAATTCACAATGCATTAATAATCCGTAATAATCGGTAAAAAAAAAAACAAAACAAATCAGTCGTGTCAAAGTTAAGAGAATTAATTCGATTCTCACCGAGTGACTCACTACATATGTTATAGATCGAAACTGGGAAACTTGTCTCACTAGACATTTCCTGTAAGTTAGGGGTTTCTGTACTTAACATCTGGAGTCAACATCCGAATCAATGACAGCTCTATGGACCGATGCCTGATATTTATACAATCTTACGTGAATGCAGAATGCGCTATGCAGGACCCTAGTGGCGAATTCGCGTGTGATCTACTGTTCTGGACACCTAGCCATGGAGCAAATGGTTGGTGTCGCAGATTCGTGAATGTCCGATCGAAAAACG